ATTGGTCTTTGTGACCATTTCAAATGTGTTAAAATCTTCGATATTTTTTTTCTAGAATTCCCAATATATGCAATGTAAAACTTACCCGGGTAATAAGTCTGAATCCTACACTACAGAATCAAAATTGCTTTCAATAATAGACAGAATTTTGGATGAAACAGATTTTATTCGTACAAATATAATTAAATACTATTAGGAGCCATATCTAAGTTACAGCTATATTATATATATAACTGCTACTGAGGGACTGGCCACAGATACATTTAATTGCTCAACTGATGCCATCTAAATTTCAATAATCCATCAAATAAAAGATTTTGTGAAAATAATACATAAATATAATATATCTGCATGTTCATGTGGGTAAACTTGTATTTCATTATGGAACTGAAGGTTGTAATTACACAACTATCAAATTATGTCTTGTACAGGATTCGCAGCAATAAGACGGAACGCAACCATCTGATAATATGTTTGTACTTAAAATGAACCTAAACGAAAAGACCAAAATAACAATCCGAGAGAAACAGCAATATAATTTGTCTTGGCCTAAAATGGACAAGTTAGGAGACCCCGTAGACACATTCTGGTAATTGGATTTCTCACATTTACATTCCTTGTGGAGACCAGACATTATGGTGATTGGAATTGACCATTGGTCAAAGATTACTAATCTGATTGTCACAACCTAGACAACACCCTGATTAGCATTGTAGATGACATTGGCTGGCAGTATCGCTGAAGTCGTAAGATGGCCGTATATACGAAATATACAGGAAATCAGAAGTGAAACTGCAGAGCAGACCTGGGCCTAGAGCACTGGGCATTCACCCACATCCAGATGAATCACGTTGCAGATACCTGTTCAATACTTTAACTCATTCACCACTAAAGTTTCGTAATGGATTATTCATATCCTTTGGATTGGAAGAGTTCAAATGTGTCTTCTGGGGTGAATGAGTTAAAGTCTATCTAGAAATTAGATTGGTCATAGGTTTGAATTCTCTTCTGTCTTTTTCTATTTTGTCTATTTCTTGTATATTTCATTTTTAGACAAAACAAAATAACTCTAGATTTTACTGCCTTTCCTAGCTGGGTTATTTTTTGCAAATTTTTAACAACTACTGTTAAAGTCTGAAATTTTGTCACTATATATATATGACCTTTAACTTTTTTATTGAAAAACAAATCTAAAATGTTTGCTTTAAATTCTTCCCTAACTCTAGAATGTCTTGAGAGCCAAAAGTAGAAACACCTATAATTTGCACACACACAAAACACAATTATATTAGTTAATCAGCTTACCATGGTAAATCCTTATCTAATTCATAGTTTATTATACTTTATTAACATATCAATAGTTGTTATATACATGTATATGTACTACTGCTGAGTACAAAGGATCAAATAAGCTGGAAACAGCTGTATTCAGCATCTTTTGCATAAAGGTGCATAAAATCAAATTTAGGTGTTTTTTTTAATATGTTGAAATAAAAGTATTTTTGTGAACAGTATACATGTGAGGGTGGGTGATCTTTTGAATCCTTGGAAATGTATTATATTTTCAATTTTAATAAAATTTATGGAAATATTTTGACACATATAAAATGCCATAAACTTAATGACTGTAAGAAACCTTTGTAAAAACGATCCAAGGTGTTTCCAGGGCAAACCAGTGAACCTTGTGTCTTTTGTTGCACATGTAATAATTATATATATAAAGACCTATAATAAGTTAGTACTGGTAATCAAAGCTAAATATATATACATCCCGTTTATCTCAAACCAACCCCAAATTACCCACAATTCACCAACACCAGTGCAAAGTAATAATGTTTCATTAAAAATCTTGCTGAAATAATAGGCATACATGATGTCCGTGGGAAAGGATGACGAACGCGGAGCTTCCAATCAAAAGGCAATATAACATACATCCGGCACATACTGTACCATGCATGGCTTAGTTCTATTCAAGCTCAGCTTAATAACATGTCATATATATATCAGATTTAATTTTTTTATTTTACTTTTAATTATATACATATCTAAACATGAAAATAAAAGACATTTTTGTGATATTATGACTTCCGGTTTTTTCCTAGGCTTAACATTGCTGGAAATAACACAAATGTAAACATAACTTTGATATGTTCCGAAGCTAAATGAAACTGGTTGCACAATAATCCAGATGTTGTATTTTTTGGAGTGGAATCGCCCTTTAAGTTTACATTCATGTGAATAGTAAACCACGGAATAGCCATCTGCTGCACATGTGGGGATCTGTTCTAGGTTGTTATGTATATATCACAATGATGCAGCGTAAAGAGTTAAGGAAACAGATGTCAGGAATCGGTAATGGTCATTAATAATAGGAGCATGTGTGTGTATCCAGACATGATACCTCCCCATGTATTTAACTTCTCATAAACACCCTGGTTTGACAGATCCAATACACTACATGTGTAAACATTGTACAGATGATCTATCCATCACAATGTGATCATGTTGATGGTCCTTAACTCATTCACCCCTGAAACTTCGTAATGAACCATTCCACCCTTTGAATTGGAAGGGTTCAAATGTGTCTTTAGGGATGAATGAGTTAATTATCATATTTTCTAACCATACATTATCTGTAATAGTGTATGGATGAAATTTATATGGTTATTGTTTATATGTAGATATATAGAAAAAGATAGTATTTATTTATAATCACAGATTATCACATATCATGACCAATCATGCAGGCATACATATATATGTCTTAGACAAAAGGTCTATGAGATATAGATGTTTATAGACCTACTGAAATATACCAGAATATACCAGACTTTACCAAGATCCTATTTAACTTCTTTATTACCAGTTATAAGGACATTTCATACACATACATACAGGTGTTTGTTTTTGGGTCATCCTATGTATACAATCGTCAATGGCTGAAGATCATATTTAGATTTCTTTATAACAGTTCAAAGAATATTTGATACACATGCATAAATATACATACACCTGTATCCAAAGACAACTTTTTTTTATCATTCTACAATGGTACAGGTCTACCCTTATTTTGACAGCTGGTGAGTCTAGATATTTTACGCATGTTTTTATTCCGGCACTGATAAAGTGTCTGGATGTACAACAGTTTTGTTAGAGCTTGGCTAGTTTGATGATCACATGCTTCTGCGCTTCTTCTCCTTTCAATAAGAGACGAATCTCCAAGGATGGAGCGATTACTGTTTGGTTAGAGCTTGGATAGTTTGATGATCGCATGCTGAACATGTAGATCCAGTTTTACAGGTATAAAATAAGATAGTCATTTATTTCAGATTAATAATAAAGATTAATTTAAATAAAAATTGATATAAATGTTTAATATAATATAAACGTATAAGTTGTAGTTCATTTGTATGTATTACCTCCCTCAATATACACTGTATATACACTTATTTATGATATTTCTTGAATGTAGGACTTCATTATGTAATTGAAGTGTATATATGTCATGTATGTTATTTGGTGCTCTATATGTGTATTTGATATGGTATTTTGTAATGTAAATATGTTTGCATTATTTTATCTATGTAGTCTTCGAATTGGAGGAAATAAAGAGAATGCTGTAAATGCAGATCCAGTAGTACAGGTATAACATAAGAGTCTTTTAGTTCAGATCACAGATCGTAGATCCTGATATACATCCTGTATGTTATCACTGGGGTATACTTGTTTAAAATGACAGCTATATCAATATCTACTTCCTGGTTAAAATACCTACTACAGATTCACACAGATGCCTTGAATTAATGGCATGCAGTTACATTTACATATATGTAAATAAAGCATATCTGCAATCTACATGTAGATAAACAAGGTATACATATATATATGTTTAATCCAGCCAGGGACACAATTTTAAATCAGTCTGTGTTCTCTTTCATACATATTTTTAGAGACTATACTTTTACTTAAAAATATGTCAAATAAATCAACTTTATTTTCTTCTTGCTTAATGTATAATGGTGATTGTAAGCCATTTTTGTTTTACAATTAATATAACTAATACTATTATCCATATGTTGAACTTGTAAAGCGCTAAATTAGAGTAATTTTACAAATTATATAGGGCGCTAAATAAATGTTAAAAATTACTATTTTAATAACTTCCTTAATGTACATCTACAACTGTTTTTCAGTTTTAATTCACGTACATAGTAAAATTGTACCATTATATATATATATGCATGATATGGTCCTGGACAATCAACATGGACTGCCCTGAGGTCAACAATATCTATACAGTTTTAGATCTAGATTAGAGGTCTTACGCCCAAACCATTTAAATGTAGACTTTCATTTCATTTCAATACCTTTGACAATATAACATCCTTGTTAATAAAATTTGTTGAAATGAAATGTAGACTTTGATATTTTAAGAATTTGAGAAAAATTTACCATACATATTATTTTATAACATATTAGTGACATGTTATCATTGTACCACAGCATTGTTAACTTAACCTTCAAAATATAGAACAATATTAGAAATAACTTACAAGTATGATTATAATTATTTATTCACATGCAAACAGTCATACTTAATTCCCTAATTATTCTCTTTTAATTCCCCAAACTAACTTATGTGTACTTGTCTCGCTGACGTCTTATCAAGTAATGTGGCTGTTAATATGATAGATACTTGTACTACGTGCACTAAAGTACATAGGCCTACATGCATACACTGTACATGGATATAGCACAGCATGTATAGAACGGGCACCTGCTTATATTAAATTAAAGTTCAACTGTGTTAAGTTCATTTCTCCTTGTGTCCTTGTAAGTAATTTAACTGCCATATATAACGATTCGGCGAGTAGAAAATTAAACCTTTTAGCAATCAGTGTACATAATACTCGAAGACCACTCGTTAATCCCGGTCTGACCCCACACAATGTATACATAAACAACAAGGTACCGTTAGTGTTATAATCCCTATAACTTACCGTGGCTCCAAGTAACGGACACTCCATTCAAGACATTCGCCTTCTATCTCGTCGGTCAGCAAACGATGATTGGACAGACGTATTGGGAGGTCTTCACTTTCACCTTCATCAGCAATAGTTTGACAGAATTTATCCAAGAAACGCTGAAAGGAAGCTAAGTCATTTCCTCGCTCCATCCTTCAGTGTTGTCACGCCATCGATGGCTTTATATACAACTTTGTGCACACAAATTGATGACGTCAAAATAGTGTGTTTACAATTTTGACATTTTGGAGGGAAATTCGCAACTGCACGTGTGTCAGCATGTTGATGAAGACAAATATGTCTATGGTTTAGTGTGAAGTTGACAAAGTGAAAAGGATGCATTCGACACACATTACAAGTAAACACGTATCTTCTAAATGAACGTAACATGTTATTGAGATATTCGAATCCACAACACCGGCCTGCAGTGCTGACTCAAGCGATCATATAACTTATAAGCTTATATGATTATTATGGTACGTTTGTAAAACGGTAGCTTGAAGAAGATCCGATGAAGTCTTTCAAAACTCTTTCTTTCCCAGAACTACTGTCACCTGCAACCACGTCCCAGGGGGACATCAAGCCGCCACGACAGTGTACTCCAGGGCACAGGGACCTGAGAATTCTTTACAGCTATATTTGGACCTTCATTGTAAGCTAAGGTGATAAGAATATTAATTTTACACGTTTTAGGGGTTTAGATCTATTTTCGGTAAAAATGACACCCAAAGATGATAATAAAATACCAGAAGGGAGGAAACTGTCAATGTCGAAAAATCGACCACACCTGACTTTCTTACATTAAAAACCACATTTCTTAAGTTGATGTACAAAAATATGCTAAGTACCGTTGAAAAGATGGATATTTTTTCTTTTAAAACCTTCTATATTCTTGTTAAAATGTATTTTCGTTCCGCAGACATGAGCTGTTTCCTCCAAAAACACACACCATTTCCCGAGTTTCAAAGTTTTTTGCAGTCATAGAGCTCGAGCCACTTTTTGTAGAAGTTGACGTCAATTTATATAGCTGTAACAAATTCTCAGGTCCCTGTGACCCAGGGATCTTTCCTTTCCTCAGAACCAGCAGACCTAAGGGAAGAATAATTTACTGAGCATTAACAAATGGATCTGGGTTTTAACTAGTAAATACTCTACCTCCTCCAACAGCACAACATGTGTATGTTGTCAGAATTAAGCTTCAGGTGTGTTATCGCAGCTAGATTTTACCTTAATGAGGCCTGTACCCTTGCTGGAAAAAACACTAGAGAATTACACTGTAATTTTTCATAAATGTACAGTAACCTCCCCTTAATTTATAACTGTAGTGGAACTGGGACATCAAATCATCTGCTGGAGATGTAAAACCAATCAATCAATCGGGGAGTCAAAGTTTGGTTTGGTTTAGTCCTATCAACAGCTATGGTCATTTAAGGACGGCCTCTCCTGTGTGCAAGATGCATGCGTGTGTATATGGGGAGGCTGCGATATGTTTATGTTTGTCTCCTTGCGATAGCGCGGAACTGATGACGCTCAACTAAAGGCCAAGAGTGAGGCATTGTCAAGGGAGACAGTAGGAAGGAGAAAGTTGTCAAGAAAGAAGAGAAAAGATCCCAAATTAAGTCGCCTCTAGATCCTACGATCATGCAATGGGGGCAGCAGGTACAATTCTTACACCCTAACTGCAGGGACGGGAGTCAAAGTAGCGCTATCTGCAGACTAGCCCAGTTGGCAGTGGTATTGGGACCCTTATGTACTTGAAGCGGAACTGGACTTGGTCGATTGTCAGCAATCAGTATCAATATCAATATCATTGGCGACCAGGTAGCTCAACTGGTAAAGCCTCTATCTGGAGCGTGGAGGGGCCTTGGTTCGAAATCCCGATCTGGCTGTGCTTTTCTCTTACTTTTAATCATAATGTGTAAAATTTGAGGGTTTCAGACACAAAGGCACCATGCATGAAGGAGATCCCTGAGGATCTGTCCAGTCAGATGATGAAATGTGACCTCATGATCAGTTCATTGGTGCCTAGTGTTGGGCGTTGTATTTTGGAATAGATAGACTTGAGGACGATAAATGTCTTTACAGAGAAACCATGCAGGGGTTGTAAATTGATATATACCCATTGTTGAATTAGTTAGACTGACATCCAGCCCCTAGTTTTTAGGAAGGATTTCTAAACTGCATTTTACTACTAGGTACCTTATATTGTTTATGTCCCCCTTTTTTGAGAACATCGAAGTGGTCAAAATCATGAATTATTTTTTTTCCTAAATAATTCAATTTTCTAGAGGTGGCACGGGCCCATCTAGAACCATGTATAGATATATTTAGTCTCTATTTTTATGGCTTAGCTAAAGAGATTTTTGTACGCGCAATCAGTCAGTAGGGCAAAGTAAACAAGCAATCCAGTCCCAGTAGTTTGACTCCTAGTCATAATCAGTGGATATATATACACAGGAATGCTAGTTAAGGATCCCTGTTCCTCTGCACTGCCGTTTTTCCTATACACAGTAACCTCCCCTTAAGGATCCCTGTCCCACTGCACTGCCATTTTTCCTATACACAGTAGCCTCCCCTTAATGTCCGTTTTGATATAACTGGAGCACCTTTGGGCTAATACACTTTGGCTGACCAGGTAGCTCAATCGGTTACAGCAATACATGGAGTATAACAATCTGAAGTTCAGGGTTGGAATCCTGGTCTAGCCCCGCTGAATTTTCTACACTCCAAACACTTTGTTGATTATATTTTGTTTATTTCATCTTTATTAATTTTTCATTAAAGTCTCTCAAGGTACGGTTTTCTTTTCAAAAATGATTATCAAGGTTATATTCTTGCAGGAAAAACAGTTTCCAATACTTAGTTACAGTTTTGGGCAGTGGTACGGGGATCCTTAATGTCACATCAGAATATAGTGGCATGTCTGGGAACTTAATCACAACTTCCAGATATTTATTTGACATGTATATACGTACACGGTAGATAGATGGGTGAACTTCATCTAGGGTTACACCTAGCTAGGAAATAAATATGAAAAGTTTGATTTTAATTAGTTGCATCAACTTATTCTTGTGGGTCAAGGTGTTTGCTCAGGAGCATCACACTTTGGATAGATTAGATTAAATATTCTGCAAGTGTAGTTTTTACTTAAGCTCACCTGGCAAAAAAGCAAGGCAAAAAAATAGGCTTATTTCTGGTTAAGAACATGTGATTTTATATATCAAAATGGACTATAAATAGATATAAATTTTAAATTTTCAGTGTTTATAAGGATTTTCTTATTTGTATATACAATTTATATAATTCTGGACACTAATTTAACGGTGGCATGTTTAAGCATGACTGAGTGCCCTCCCTTACATTCTCAATCAGCAGATATGTGCATAGTTGATCACCATTGTGGCACTTTGATCAATTTTCAGTGTTATATGTATATCATTCAGGACACTTAACTAACGGTTGCATGAGTAACCTCCCCTATCTTTTCAATCCTGAGAAACATATATACCGTAAAAACCCATGTAATTTGCGCACTTTTTTTTCAGAAATTTAATACCAAAAGTGGGGGGTGCGTAAAATACACAGGTATGCAGTTATGTGTACAGTCAATGACTCATTAATCATTCTTGTCCACTGATTACAGACATGAAACAAACCAGCTGTGATAGTTAACAAGAGCATGATGCAGACACAGAGAGAACTGAGTAGTTTCCCGATAGCTCCTGTCCACAAGACAAAACTGGCTGCAGCAGGATTTATCATTGTCGAGGACTTGAAAGGCATGAAGCCATCAGAACTTAGCAAAGGTAATTATAACACATGTTTGTGCCTTCTGAATTCATGTTGACATACGTTTATGGACATGCTATAACAATTTGTTAATAAAATCCTTTACCAACTTTTTAAAAAGTTAGTAGGTATTTCAATATTTGAAACAGTTGATAAATATAGAACTTATAAAGCCTATCAAAATTTCATGTAATGGAATATATGAAGCATCTGTCTATTTGTCTGACTGTCTGTCTACACTGTGGATTCCACAATTAAACATGTTTAAATATCAGTCATTTGATTGAATATATGGGGCATAAGGATTAAAGGATAGCTCCCCTATACAATTAAAAGCATTTTAATGGTAATTTACTTATATTCCTTTGGCTGCAAGTTAAAAACTTCTATAAAAAAATAAATCAACTTTACTGAGTACAACAAAGGGTATTTGATATTTGAACAAAACATTGTGGGCTGTGGCATATGGCTGTACCCGAGTTTGGCGGTACAACGGGTGCATTTAAGTGTGGGGAAATCGATTCTGACAAAATTGATGGCGATGTGTGAATTTGGCGGTACATTATGGGTGGCAATACATAGAGGTTATACTGTACTATATATATACGTAGTGCAAATGTAGGTTGTTGTTATATTTCAATTTTCCTTGCATTTTGTTACAAAAATGCATCAGAAAGTTTCAAAATGTATGTCTTTTTGTTATACAATAAGTCCTGGGTCAATGTTCAGTGACATATATAGTTCTGTCCTTGCTATACTTATGTATGGTTTGTAAAATGTTACGTAGGAAAAATATTTTAATCAGCAAGATAGTTGTAATAATTGTGAAACTGATTATTGTGCTTTAATGACCATTACATTACTTCTGTCATCCGCCCATTCAATAAAGAATATGCATGGTTAAATCTAGAGTTAAAAAGTCACCAGTACATCGTATTAGAACCCAATTAACATTGTACGCCAGTCAGAATTTGTGCTAACATGCAAACAAACAAGAAAAGACATTAATTAAAATGATGTAACAAAACAAAACTGTTCAGCTAATTTTTGTGTCAATCTAATTTTCAGAAACTGGAATTGGTATGGAAGAATCACTGGACATTTTAAAGCTGGTGCTAGGAACAGATGGGAAGGGAGACAACTCAGGTCATGTGGACAAATCAGCACTAGACATTCTGAAGCAGGAGCAGTCCCTTCCCCATATTGTCACGTTCTCAGAACAGCTAGACAACATGCTGGGGGGTGGGGTCCCCCTCTGTAAAATCACTGAATTCTGTGGTGCCCCAGGCACAGGCAAAACTCAAATATGGTATGTATACATAATCATTTTTCATAATTTGTAAGTAATTTTAATATAAACCAATGTCAGATTTATCATTTACTTTAAAGATAGATGGTTCTGTTATTGTTCCACAAGCACAGTATGACCATGTATTATTCTATGTCTGACCTTTAGATTATTTTTGTGCATAATTCCAATTGGAAGTATTGCCTTTGGTTTGTTTGTAATATTCCATGAATCCAGTATGATCTCATTCTCGAAATTACAGGGGTTGCGCTCAGTTATTTTTTCTACACCCTGGAATATGTCATGATAAAATTGAAGGCACTGTAGGCACTAGTTTAATCCTTTGATGTACATGAAAAGATATCATACAGCAGCATAATGGTAAAATTAACTAGCTTTGAAGGCTGGTGTCGCTCCTTTGTAATCTTCAAAGGATAGGTATCAGCCTAGCGGTTGGTTAGTTTTTCATACCTGAATTCAGTCAGATCGTTTACTTTGTTCCTTCGATTTTGTCAGGACATACTCAGGGGTGTAAAGAGCGTGAGCATAACCCCTGGAAATTCAAGAATGGTATGAACTTGGTGGAGTGGAACCTTTGGATTTCGATTTGTATTACACTCCTGTGTATATGAACTTGGGTTTATTTGTCACTTCAAGTCACAATATGTCCTTAGATTTATTTGTAGTGTTGGGAATTAGAAGAGAAATCATGATTGATGATCGGAAGACCTTTCAGGAAAGATTATCGTTTATACAAAAATGTAATTAGAATATTCAAACATACTTTGAAAACTTCTTCACAATCGATTGATTGGAATCTGTTGTGTGATCGACTGATTTTCGATCATAATCGATAATCGGAACAACACTATTTATTTGTATTGTTTTACACCCCCAGTATGCAGTTGGCTGTGGATGCCCAGATCCCCGAGTGTCTGGGAGGCCTAGAGGCGGAGGTCATTTATATCGACACTGAGGGCAGCTTCATTGTTGAGCGTCTGGTTGATATCGTCACTGCTACTGTGGAACACTGTAAAGAAATTGCTGGAGGGGACCAAGGTAGCAACATATGCTAGTTCTTAAAGAAAGCCTTATGAAATAATGAAATTTAGTGAATTATGACTCCAGGACCTTACTATACTGCAGTTGTGTTCTTAACAGTATTTATGTATTGGTCTTTTTATCTTGTGACTAGTGTGTGTATATTCAGAACTTAAAGTTCTCTGTAGGCTTCAATGTTGATCGTGAAACCCTCGTTGTGATGTCTCTATAAATTGGAAGCCAAAAAAAAAAAAAAATCTGGCAAAAGTTACTGCATATCATATGTTAAATAGAATTTTCAGCAATGGAATTTATAGCCCTGCACCACTGGGTTGCAGGTTTGAGGCCTAGGTTGGGCAGTCACCCGATACTGGCCACAGGTCGGTGGTTTTCCTCTGGGTACTCCAGCTTTCTTACACCACCAAAATCTGGCCCATCCTTACATGACCATAGCTGTTAATAGGATATATTTACATTTGGTCTGCATCCTTCCATTGCAATGCATTGAGAAGGCAAATGGTTTTTGTGAGACTATAACAACATTTGCTATTGTAATGTCATCAGTCTCTTTTGTGACGTCATGGATTTTAATGCTGTCAACACTTAATTTGCTGTTCAAAGAACTGTTCGAAATAACTAAATAAAACATAACTTCTCTATCAAAATGTAAATATAAATAATGAATATTTTAGCAAATATTGTTATGGTCCTATAACACGCATTTCCGGGCTTTATGTAAGTTTGTCATCAATAGCAATGTATGTTATAGGACCATAACAACATTTACTAAAACATTAATTGCTTTAGTTAAACACAAACAAACCATGGAATTTGTAAAAGTTATTTTAAGCTAATTGCACACATATGGAATCTGTTTTTCTAATGATATCACCATTTAGAATGAAATATTTTGTAATCATATAGGAGTATGGAAGAACTTTTGAAGTAGAATTAAAACATCTTGTTTGTTGCATTAAAAAAGGTAGAATATTTAGTCAAAAGTTTTAAAAATCATGCTAAAGTGGTTGTGTTTTGAGATTATGTTAAATTGATATTTTTAGTGAACTCGTTCTATGATTATGATGAGTTAGAATATCACTGCCAGGGATCAGAGATTCTATCAATAAACTAACTGTTCTGTGCTCCTTATCTACAGATTCTGGGGAGCTAGGAGACTTCACCCCGGAGAGAGTGTTGTCCCGGATGCATTACTACCGTTGTCATGACTACATAGAACTGCTGGCTACGATTCACCTCTTACCTGACTTTATCAAGCAACATTCTAAAGTTAGTCTCCAGAGACTGATTAAGCAAAAAAATAATTCAATCGAAACTAATTTTGAAAAACATTTATAACTCATTCTTATAAGGCCACATAAAAAAATATATTGTGTTTCTGCTAACCCTACCTACCCTGATGATTTCATGACATGCACTTTTAAAATGAGAAATCCCGCTCTATATAAGCAAAGTAAAAATATTACCTACACTGTTTTTTCTGAGGGTGATATCAGAAACACTAGTAATTTTGTTTTTGGCCTAAATGACTTAAAATTGACTTGTACTTATAAATGACTGAAACTTGCTAATATTTTGTTTTGTCTTGCAATTTACTTACTTTCAATAATTTGTTTCCTTAAATGCTACTTCAGTTCATTTTAAGCAGTAGATTTTAAGGTTTTACAGTGAAAATAATGTATTAACATACAAAACCTGTCATTCAGACAACAGAATTTAGTGTTAAAAGTAACAAACAATATGTGTTGTCAAGGGTTACATCATTGATTAGCTGCAGGAACCGTAGCTTCTAGGCCCGATCGTTTAAAAAAAAACTAAAAAAGGATTGGTTCCCCCAGCTTATCACTGATGACCTAACATTTTCTTACTGTCATTAAGTCACCAAGAATATCCTAAATGTGTAGGAAAGATTTGTCTGCCAGGCTTATGAACAACAAGGAAATGCTGTCTAACTGACTACCTATGTTTCACTTATTCCCCCCTCAAGTCACATTTGTACCTTACCAAATCTAAGACTGGGCAAGTCCAGTTTAGATATATAGGGGTGAATGAGTTAAACACAAACCTTTATATACAGTAGTGAGGACAAGATCAGTTTGCTGGAGGAATTTTCACTACACTATATTGTATTCACATTCAGCTCCACTGTAAAGGTCGACATTGATTTATAAGTTGTTCCAGATTAAATCATTAATAGAGTTTGTCATCAAATTATAATAGCAAAGTTTTCTCAGTTGTGTAAATAAAATTGCATTAAAAACTCTCTAATCTGACACACTGTGGGACACATGTTGATCATATAAGCCAGGTTGTCGTAAAACACAGGTCTTATTTAGAAGTTTGCATTCAAAATGGCATTGTATCATTATCTTGGATTATACAGGATGTCAGAATATGCAGTGATCAGATTAGACAGATTTCATTGTATAAAAATAAATCTTTCAGTATGTATAAAAAATACTGTTTAATACAGCTCATGTGGTCAAGTATAGTATATTTTTGAGTTATTAGTATCTAGGTATTCTTTTTTTGTTAAAAAAAACCCATGAAAATAGTAAAAATTATGTAAATTACTTGGAACTGAGCTATCTGTTAGTTTGGAGAGGTGTTCTGCTCATCCATGTTCCAATAAGTTTAACCATGTTTGATTTTTATTCTTTTTTTTCTTTTTTTTCTGTGTATTCTGGACAAACTTGGAAATGTTTGCAACCTTTCGAAAAGACCCAGTGATTATTACTTTCACTGAAAAGAGTAATATGATGATAATGTTTCACCCGCTTGGGGGTGAGTAGGTGAATCTCAACCCAAGGAGGAGATTCCCCTATTTCACCCCAAGAGGATGAATAATTATTTTTCTCTTAATTTGTTGACCCTGTCATATACATAATGCAAAGTTGATGTTACAGGCTCAATGTATTTTAGTGTGACATTAATGCATAGTGTATTAATGTTTATCCATTGCATTGTAGGTTCGTCTCGTGATTGTAGATAGTGTCGCCTTCCATTTCCGCCACGACTTTGACGATATGTCCCTGAGGACACGCCTTCTTACCTCTACAGCTCAGAACCTCATCAAGCTGGCAACCACTTTTGAACTTGCGGTAATTAGTTTTTACACCTGTGTAGCAACAATGTTTGGTGTACTGTCATTTGAGTATTCCTCTTGGTCATCTGGTTCTGCAGCTATCCTTCCAAATGGTTTCCAGAGCATTCCTCCTATACTTTATGTATTTTATGTATGATATTCATACTTGGTACGTGTATATGGATACATGCAGGAACATTCCAAAAGTAGGTCACTTTATCTTGAGCCCTGACATCAGTTGAGGAAAAAATGCTCCTGTAGTGTTAACTATAGGATCATCAAATTTTGTACGTGCATACATTTACAAATGTAGGTCACTGTGACCTATATGTTTTACCTCTAACCTCAATGAATGAACAAAAATGTAGCATTCCTCTACAGGGGATTACTTTTTTATGTTTCGTGCTTGAGATGTTTTCTTAAGGAAATCTTTGACAAGTTACATTGGCGTAGGACTAACAAATAATCTATTCAACTAGTCCTGTGGACAACCATGCAAAAGTAGTTATTGTCTCGCCCTGGTAAAGGTTAAAAATTTCACGTTGTGACAAAGACTTCTATTTTCACATTCACTTTATCATTGTGAAAATACGCATGTGCCATCCTCGCTAATTTTTCACTCTATGCACTCCCGGAATATGTCAAAGCAAAATTAAAGGCATGCTGCTAGCTATTTCATTTGTGTCAGGGGGGAAAAACCGGACCAATCACTAGGCTGATACTTGTCCTTTGAAGATTACAGAGGAGCGACGCCCAACTTCAAAGCCAGTTAGTTTTACTGTTATGCAACCGCAAGATTCTTTTGATGTACATTGTACATCAAAAAATCAAACAGGTCTTCTGGTCTCATCAATAAGGTGGTGCACACTGAGCCTCCAATTTTACTATGACATATTCCACGGGTGCAGAGAGCAAAAGTGAGTGTGTCTTCTGGAGTGTATAGGATGCACATGTGCAAGCATAATAACAAAATATGAATCTTTTTATATACAATGTGGCAGTATTGCCAGCACGAAAAATTCCTTATTGTAAACAGTTTGAGGAATTATCATGTAAAAATTCTGCTTGGGGAAACATTTTACTTTTACAGTCATACATTTAATCAGATCCAGTTATTTTGTTTGTAATTCAGTCTCATGACACTGTGTTGTGACAGGTTGTGCTGACCAATCAGATGACCACAAAGGTTCGAGCGGGTGAATCGTCACAGCTTGTACCAGCCTTGGGGGAGAGTTGGGGTCACGCCAGTACTATCAGAGTCATTCTGTACTGGGAAGGACAGGAGCGATATGCCTGGCTGTACAAGTCACCGTCACACAGAGAAGCTAGGGTCCCGTACCAAGTCACGGTAAATAACATTTCTGTGTATAACGATCAAGATCAAATAATAATTAACAACATGTCTCCCTTTTTCAGCTTAGTAACCTTTGACTGCGTATAAATTAGCGTATACGCAGTGAAAAAAGCTTGGCAGTTTGATTATTATTTTTTTCAAATATTACGCCATCTGCGGTTCAGCGACATAAAAGTCAGGTGACATATTGGGGATCCAGTATGTTCTTATTATTCAACAAAGGGATGCTGACAAACTTCTCATTCCATGGTGCACATTCAAATTTCTTTTGACTGTGTAGTAAACAATGGCGGCTTCGTTCTTGACCATTCAATCTCATCACTATCAGAGCAGTGTGTCAATGCGCATACATAACAACCGTTATAAATGAATAAAGGTCAAGGTAATGTTGTTAAAGCTTGTTTCTATATAAAGAGGTCGAAGTTATACTGTACTGAGAGAAACATGGGCGAACGCCTCTGTTTACAAGTCTCCTTCCTTCAGAGCGGCTGGGGGCCCCTACCAAATCATTTGAAATAGAACTTACCAGGTATGTATGGAGTTAAAGGTCAACTTCAAATTTGTTTATATATATAGGGTCATGCCAGTCGTTGTGAGGGTCACTTGCGTCGACATCATTTGTGTTTATATATAGATATGTTATTCATGCTTGGTAAACGTTGATCTTTTTTTAGATGGGAGGAATCCGTGATGTTGTCACAGAAGATGAAAGTCACAATGATGATACAGTTGATACAGATAAAAACCCAACGAAACGGCAAAGGGTAACATGACAACAAGTTTAGTTCCTGTTCCTCCCAGTTGTCACGAGTAGGACCAAGGTATATGCTGTATGACAATCAGGAAGCATGCTTTGGAATAAAGCAGGCAACAAATGAAATTGCCTCACAGAGCAATAGAACTGTAGTTGTTGCTACAGACGAAACTGTTTTCACATCAGTGAGATAACATACCTTTGATGAGGTGATTTCTCACAATATTGTGCTCAACACTCGCGAGAATTTATGGATGTATGCTGCCTTAGTGACAAAAGAGTTCCACTCGTAAATAAACCTTTAACCTATTCACCCCTGAAGTCACATTTGAACTGTTCCTATTCAAAGGTTGGTATAGTTCATTATGATGGGGGTGAATGAGTTAAAGGTATCGTTTACAACTGGTAGTTTGGACTTTGTTGACTTGGTGACGTCATTTATCAAAAAACGTTCGTTGAATAAAGGTCATTTTATGTGTTAATTAAGAATGCTTAATTATATAGAAAAAATGTGTTTGGGAACTATTCTAGAGGGGGAGGAGCAGCAGGGAGGTAATTGTATTGTCCCCAGCACCATAATATTATTTTTTGCTAAGATCTACTATACAAATTTAATTTATCAGTATTTGTAATGCGTGCCTCCCTTAGCACATTGACAATGATAGTTACCGACAAGTGAGACAAACAAGAACTGATTAGGGCTGTTCCAGAATTAACCATAGGGGAGGGTTGGAAGGCACTTTTTCAGAGACCCCACCACCCATAAAATCTTAAAATTAATTTATTATAAGAAATGGTAAACCAGATCTGATTTTAACACCACCACCCATAAGTTAATAATACAGGTGCCTCCCACCTCCCCAATACAATAAATGATGGAACAGCCCTTAGTGAAAAGAAGACAGGATTATGCTTTAATATAGGGAATTCATGTGGGGTTTTAACTATATAAAGAACACAGTAGATGTTGTACAAGTAGATCAAAATTGTTATATCATGACATTATTGTATAATATAAATAATGATATTAACTGTAAAACTGAATATCTGAAAATGTTTGCTGCTGAATATCTGAAAATGTTTGCTGCTGAATATCTGAAAATGTTTGCTGCTTAAGTGGGTTTTTTTGCCTTTTGGTGTAATGCAAATGAAGATGTGATTACAGTGAACATAAATTTACACTATATATACATAAATAGCATTTAAATGTAAAGGGCAATTTAATCAGCAAATGGCAGGACATTGACCAGGCAAAAATCTCCTAGTATTTTTCCCCATCAAAATGTGGTCCATGGGCATTCCATTACATATTTAGGCCTACTGTTAATCATCTGTGTATAATAACAGTACTGTTACTTGCATAGAAAATATGTATTTTCAGCCTTGTTGAGTTTGCTCTCTCATTAAATAGTGAATTTCCCATGTTCTAGTATGTCATTATATTATTACAGGATTAGTGCTGTATACCGGGAAAATTCTGCAGAATTTTTCGCTGTTTTTTTTTGCGCTCCGTAAAGAAGGCAAATTTCTATTTAGAGTAAATATTAGTAAACAACATAATAAGCATAGGAATCAAAACTGAAACTTATTTTACCAGGCATAGGGTGAGAATTTGACTGAAGCGAAAATTTTCCCGGTACACAGTAACGTATTGTACTTTGACAATTTTAAGTACACAGTATGTTGTGTGTTACTTTGTTTTTTGAAGAGTACTGTTAATGGGGTTTGTTTGTTGAAATATTAAATATTTTATTTTTATAACTTTTTTCAAATTGTTTATGAAGAGAAAGACTATATTAATTTTGTGTATGGAGCAGATGAATGATATTTAAAATGGTTGTTAACAAGTGTCTAATATGAGGTTTTTGGGAGAGTGTCTGATATGAGGTTTTTGGGCGAGTATATTCTAGGATGCTTAACAAGATTTCAACTTGTATGAAAAACAAGATTTCATCCCGTTAGGCAAAGGTGGAGTGGATGTATAGAAATGGGTTCAGTTTGTCCATGCATCCATCTGTGCATATCAACAAAACTTTCGTTTGCAACCGAAGACTACATACCTAAGTATTTAGATAACTTCTGTGGCCTTCCTCCGTAGAACTGAGACTCCCTAGATGATATTACCTAGGGTCCAGTGATGTTTTGGACGCATGACGTCAGGAGGGAGTCATAGATACCTGATGGGCAGTACAAATATATCCCCAAATCCATTATCCTGTGATTGAGCATAGAAGGAAAACGGGGACCACGCCAGAAACATGGATCTATGGACCACAGCCGCTGTGACAGCCTATCTGCATCTGAGGAGCAGTCCGATCTTGAAGCGTAACCTGGATTGGCCTAGGACACTTTAGTAGGCCTAATAAGCAGCAACTTACCACCTCAAGCCGACAGAACACAGACCTATGTCAGTGAGACGAAACCGGTATGCATGGGTGGAGTCATATAGGCGAAAACCCTGCAAACCAACCAACCTGTGACCGAGCCAACTGTTAACCAGGACTTGGGGAGGTACCCCTTACCAGGTGTCTATGGCTCCCTTCTGAGGTCATGTGTCGACCACGGTGTTCAGTACCTTTCCATGTTGTAGTTGGACAGTAGTGATGATTCGGAGAACGTCACACTTATCAGGATTTTTTCTTAAAGTACATCAACCATTTGTTCTCCCAGCACTGCAGTTAACCAAAGTCTTGTAGTATGACTTGGTCCTCTGATGATGTCATTCTTCTATACAAGAAACAGTCTTCTGTAAACAGTATGGTGGTTGATTTAACTGATCCTGGGAGATTGCTGATGAATTGCAGAAATAACAGTGGTCAGAGCACTGTGCCCTGAGGGATTCAGATAAAACTGTGCTGGAAGCTGTTGGTTGGCCGTCAAGAACACACGCTGGCTTCTAATTTGCAAGAAGTTTGAGATCCAGTCGTGGTGTAAATGACAAATGCCATAATGCTTAAGTTTCATGTGGGATACTTTGTGGAAAACCCAAGTACCTTCAATATAATGAAGTCTTCATTCACATATTGCACCAAAATAACACACTTCGGGATTAGCAAGAACTTATCTTATGTCTAACTTTGGGTACTAGACATGGTAATGAAAGAATGGCCGTTGTATGGAGAGTACGGAAAGGTAGTATTTGGTAACACGAATGATAACGAAATAAAAAGCAAGTATTTTACGGAGAGAGCATGTATGATTCCAGGAGTGGCAAGTAGGAGAGGGGGTATGATAAAGGGAGAACTACATTATAGCATTGTCAATGTAAGATGAGACATAAAACTGGGCACACAGTAATGAACATTTGAAGGGAGTTAAGTGGCTTATCATAAACCTGATGGAAGTCACCTTATCACAATTTCATTAACCATAAACGCGCAGGGCATTCTTAGATTAAACGACATGCCTGTTATATTAGAATATTTTAAGCGTAAACAACTCGTGGAGTGAAAGATAAGTGCACACTCAATGAGTTGTCAAGTTTCACATTTATAGTATACGTAGCCTTGACCCATGCAAATAATTGGTTGACTTGCGAAAATGTACGCCTCTAAATTAAAGATGGTTAAAGATTCACCAAGGTTCACGCCTACCGTGACTTTGACCCAATAGAGTTTCTGGCACACTTTTCAAGCATCATGTCTACTACAGTGGAGTTGACCCATGTGGAATTGGTTGACTCACCAGAGTTTAGGAGTTGACACTTGTGGAATTGGTTGACTCACCAGTGTCTAGGAGTTGACCCTTGTAGAATTGTTTGACTCACCAGAGTCTAGGAGGCAAATAATTGGTTGACTTGCGAAAATGTACGCCTCTAAATTAAAGATGGTTAAAGATTCACCAAGGTTCACGCCTACCGTGACTTTGACCCAATAGAGTTTCTGGCACACTTTTCAAGCATCATGTCTACTACAGTGGAGTTGACCCATGTAGAATTGGTTGACTCACCAGAGTTTAGGAGTTGGCCCTTGTGGAATTGGTTTACTCTCCAGTGTCTAGGAGTTGACCCATGTGTAATTGGTCGACTCACCAGAGTCTAGGAGTTGAACCTTGTGGAATTGGTTGACTCACCGGTGTCTAGGAGTTGACCCTTGTGGGATTGGTTGACTCACCAGTGTCTATGAGTTGACCCTTGTGGAAGTGGTTGACTCACTAGTGTCTATGAGTTGACACTTGTGGAATTGTTTGACTCACCAGAGTCTAGGAGGCAAATAATTGGTTGACTTGCGAAAATGTACGCCTCTAAATTAAAGATGGTTAAAGATTCACCAAGGTTCACGCCTACCGTGACTTTGACCCAATAGAGTTTCTGGCACACTTTTCAAGCATCATGTCTACTACAGTGGAGTTGACCCATGTGGAATTGGTTGACTTACCAGTGTCTAGGAGTTGACCCTTTTGGAATTGGTTGACTCACCAGTGCCTAGGAGTTGAACCTTGTGGAATTGGTTGACTCACTAGTGTCTATGAGTTGACCCTTGCGGAATTGTTTGACTCACCAGAGTTTAGGAGTGGACACTTGTGGAATTGGTTGACTCACCGGTGTCTAGGAGTTGACCCTTGTGGGATTGGTTGACTCACCAGTGTCTAGGAGTAGACCCTTGTGGAATTGGTTGACTTACCAGTGTCTAGGAGTTGACCCTTTTGGAATTGGTTGACTCACCAGTGCCTAGGAGTTGAACCTTGTGGAATTGTTTGACTCACCAGAGTGTAGGAGTTGACCCTTGTAGAATTGTTTGACTCACCAGAGTCTAGGAGGCAAATAATTGGTTGACTTGCGAAAATGTACGCCTCTAAATTAAAGATGGTTAAAGATTCACCAAGGTTCACGCCTACCGTGACTTTGACCCAATAGAGTTTCTGGCACACTTTTCAAGCATCATGTCTACTACAGTGGAGTTGACCCATGTAGAATTGGTTGACTCACCAGAGTTTAGGAGTTGGCCCTTGTGGAATTGGTTGACTCACCATTGGCCACTAGTTGACCCATGTGGAATTGGTTGACTCACCAGTATCTAGGAGTTGACCCATGTGGAATTGGTTGACTCACCAGAGGCTATGAGTTGACCCTTGTGGAATTGTTTGACTCACCAGAGTGTAGGAGTTGACCCTTGTAGAATTGTTTGACTCACCAGTGTCTATGAGTTGGCCCTTGTGGAATTGGTTTACTCTCCAGTGTCTAGGAGTTGACCCTTTTGGAATTGGTTGACTCACCAGTGCCTAGGAGTTGAACCTTGTGGAATTGTTTGACTCACCAGAGTGTAGGAGTTGACCCTTGTAGAATTGTTTGACTCACCAGGGTCTATGAGTTGACCCTTGTGGAATTGGTTTACTCGCCAGTGTCTAGGAGTTGACCCATGTGTAATTGGTCGACTCACCAGAGTCTAGGAGTTGACGCTTGTGGAATTGGTTGACTCATCAGAGTTTAGGAGTTGTCCCTTGCGGAATTGGTCGACTCACCAGTGTCTAGGAGTTGTCCCTTGTGGAATTGGTTGACTCACCAGTGTCTAGGAGTTGAACCTTGTGGAATTGTTTGACTCACCAGAGTCTAGGAGTTGACCCTTGTAGAATTGTTTGACTCACCAGTGTCTATGAGTTGACCCTTGTGGAATTGGTTGACTCACCAGAGTCTATGAGTTGACCCTTGTGGAATTGGTTGACTCATCAGAGTTTAGGAGTTGACCCTTGTGGAATTGGTTGACTCACCAGTGTCTAGGAGTTGACCCTTGTGGAATTGGTTGACTCAACATTGTCTAGGAGTTGACCCATGTGGAATTGGTTGACTCACCAGTGTCTAGGAGTTGACTCTTGTGGAATTGGTTGACTCACCAGTGTCTATGAGTTGACCCTTGTGGAATTGGTTGACTCACCAGTGTCAAAAGCCTTTGTAGCCTTCACCCATATCAGATGTTTCTGGCTCATCATAGTAAGTGATTATCATGGCTTGACCCAGTTAAGTAAATATATTGCGACAACTGCACTCATACCTTTGCAATTAGCCAGTGTGAACAATCGCAGACTGCACCCGGCATTTATTACAACGTAGCTATTACATTACAAATACTGTATAGTTATATACAATGTACACTAATCTGGAGAAAAATGCTGACCCCTCATATATAATGCATCACATATACCTACTATATTATTTTTATATAATAATGAGCCAAGCAAGCCACCCAACCTAAGGGCATACGGGATGAGCAACAACACTCTAAGGCCTAAGGCTCTATTTGTTGTGATTTCTAACCGGATGTTATTAAATTCCACAAAACATTCGCTTTCATTTGACTTGTCTGTAGGCTCTGACGTCAACGGTTAGAATGACCTTCTCCACAGACTACATTCACGCACCTGTCCTTGCACACTTTTCTTTGAATCACCGAGAGAAAAAGTGTGAAACAAGACACTCTAATTATGAGCAAAATAGAAAACATCCTTCAAACCACACAGAGAAACAAAGCCTTGTCCAATGGAATCTCGATGGTGACCATAAATCCTGCACATATTTCTTGTCAACCTGCATCACTCGAAACTCTGTGTTGTAATTTTTCCGTCAGCAACTAGACGGTTAATTTCATGAAAGGGAAAGTTCACAATCTATAAATGGAAAAATGTCAAGCTTATATAGTTTACTTTAGTAAACCAGATTTTTTATGGTAAGACATATATTTAATTAAAAAAAACACCAATAAAATTGGTTAGGTAGGCATTGGAT